ATTCTCTCACAGTCCAGTGGGCTACAAGTCCAAATTAGGGCATCAGCTCCAGGAGGTCTTTCTCTCTCTGTCAACTCTGGAGAAAGGTCCTTGTAATGTATCAGTCTTTCCGTGGTCTGGGAGCTTCTCTGCACAGGAACCTCAGGTCCAAAGGACACGCTCTGCTCCTGGCACTGCTTTCTTGGTGGTATGAGGTTCCCATGTGTCTCTGCTCACTTCTTTCTTTTATATCTCAAAAGAGACTGGATTAAGACAGTATCTAATCTTGTAAACCTCATCAGTATAACCTCATCCCAGTGACAGAATTTACAACACATAAGGAGATCACATATAACCTCATAGTGATAGAGTTTACAACACATAAGGAAATCACATCAGATTACACAATCATACAATACCGGGAATCATGACCCAGCCAAGCTGACAGATAATTTTTGGGTGACACCATTCGGTCCATGACAACCCTCAACAAGATGAATTGACACAGTGGCTGCCACAATGGGCTCAAGCATAACAAGGATTGTAAGGATGGCGGGGGACGAGATAGCGTTTCATTCTGTTGTACATGGGGTTGCTATGAGTCAGAACTGACCTGACAGCACCTAACAACAACAAATGGTAGAGAATTGTGAACAAAATAAAAAAGTTTGCTGTGGGTTCGACCCATTGCGAGACATGTCACTATGCAGATGGACGCTGTGCTAGGTGGGAGTAGTTAAGGAAGAAGTCAGGTACCGGGTTATGGCTCATTATTTCCTCTCCAGACTAGTTGTTACGGGTTGAACTGTGTCCCTTCCAAAAGAAACAAAAAACCAAATCCCTTGTTGTTGAGTCAGTTCCGACTCATAGCAACTCTATACGACAGAGTAGAACTGCCCCATAGGGTTTCCAAGGAGCGGCTGGGGGATTCAAACTGCCGACCTTTTGGTTAGCAGCCAAGCTCTTCATCACTGCGCCACCAAGGCTTCCCCCCAGAAAAGATAAATTCTAACCTCTGGTCCCTGTGAACGTGACTTTGTTTAGAAATAGGGTCTTTGAAGATGTTTTCAATTAACATGAGGTCAGACTGGAGTAAGGTGGGTCCTAGTCTAATCTGAGCAGAGTCCTTATAAACTAGGAGAGCAGACACAGAGACACACACAGAAGGGAACACCATGTGAAGGCGGAGGCAGAGAGTGACGTTATGTTGCCACAAGGCAAGGAGTGCCTGGGGCTACCAGACGCTGGGAGAGACGAGAAAGGATCTTCCTCAACAGCCTTTGGCCAGGGAACATGAAAGGCCCTGCTGACACCTTGATTCCTGACTTTTGGCCCCTAGAACAATGAGACAATACATTTCTGTCATTTTAAGCGCCCCGCTTTGTGGTACTTTGTTACAGCGGGCCTAGGAAGCTAATACACTAGTGAATTATTTTTTAGAGAAATTTCCTGCCTTCTATCTCTTTCCTGTCCTATACAATCCACCAAATCAACATTTTCTATCTTGGAGCCCTGGTGGCATAGTAGTTAAGAGCTTGGCTGCTAACCAAAAGGTCGGCAGTTTGAATTCACCAGCCGCTCCTTGGAAACCTTATGAGGCAGTTCTGCTCTGTGCTACAGGGTCACTATGGGTTGGAATCGACTGGATGGTAACGGGTTTGGTTTTTTTTGTTTATCATGCTCCTCAAGTCCCTGGGTAGTGCAAATGGCTAACGGGCTTGGCTGTTAATCAAAAGGTTGGTGGTTCATGTGGACCCAAATGCTCCTCAGAAGAAAGGCCTGGTGATTTACTTCTGAAATATCAGTCATTAAATACCCCGTAGGGCACACTTCTCCTCTGACAGAAGTAAGCGTCAACTTAGTAGCAATTGGTGTCATGATCCTATTCAAAAACTGTCAATAGTCCCTGTTATGGATTGAATTGTGTTCCCCAAAAATATGTATTGTAAGTCCTAACTCCTATACGTATAAGGAGCCCTGGTGGCGCGGTGGTTAAGCACTCTGCTGCTAATCGAAAGGTTGCAGTTTGAACCCATCAGCTGCTCTTCGGGAGAAAGAGGTGGCAGTCTGCTTCCATAAAGATTTACAGCCGTGGAAACTCTATGGGGCATTTCTACTCTGTCCTGCAGGGTTGCTACAAGTTAGAATCAACTCAGCAGCAGTGGGTTTGGGTTTTCTTTAATGCCTTTAAAGGTTTTTCTATGGGAATGGAGTTGTTCCTTATCATGTTAATGAGGCGGTATTGGTGCGCGGTGTGTCCCAAGTGAATCACTTCTGAGACTTTAAACAAAGCAGATTCGGCACAGAAGCAAGGAAGCACAGATGGGGGAAGAGAGATGCCACACCCCATGAAGACTGCTAAGGAACTGAGGGACAGAAGCTAAAAAGAGACAAGGACAATCCTCCAGAGCCAACAGAGAGAGAGGCTTCCCCTACAGCTGCCGCCCTGGGTTTGGGCTTCTAGTCAATGGCATCGCTAGGGCTGGTGTCACCCAGTGCAGTAACTCATGGTGTCACCTCCCCCCACGGACCTCCTCCTGTCCCAGACCATACAGAATCCTTGGCAATGTTTTTTGTGCTAATGTTACTCATAAATCATAATTCGTGTATTTCACTCCTTCTTTTCCTTTAATGACTACTTCGTTCTCAAAAAAGTTATTGATATAGGCTCACAAATACTAATTACCATAACATTATAGCTAAAATACCAGAAAATGACAAACTCGGTGACCATAAAAACACCAGCAGCCATGAAAACAACAGCGTGGGTTTGTCGCATCACTGTAATTGGGTAACAAAGGCAGCTCTGATGCAGGGCATTAGAAGGTTAACAAAGTAAATTAGCATAGAGTTTTATCCTTGTAGGTATATTGATACATGTAAGCTGGGCTTCCGAAATATGTTTTTGATGTTATAACTAACTACAGGGATATGTTTACAAAAAATAATGAGTTTCTGCTGAAACCCTGCACAAAAATTTTACGGTCATTTTGGTGTCACGCCCTCTGACAGCGTCACCTGGTGTGGTCCGAAACCCCCGCACCTCCCTCGTGACGCCACTACTTCTCGTCTCCTAAACTGCAAGAAAATAAATTTCTGGGTTGTTAGAATCCACTCACTTGTGGTATTTCTGTTTCAGCAGCGCTAGGAAACTGAGACAGTCCCTTATTACCTGCCACTTAGAGTTTGAACATCTTAGGCTAAGACTGAAGGCCTCCACCAGCTGGGACCTAACCTACCTTCCTGGAAATGGCTCCCACAAGTCCCGTTCCAACCTCTCCATCCTAGCTAAGCCCACTGACCGTCCTCCATACCTACCCACTGTGTTATCACCTCTGCTTCTATCCCAGAGTTTCCTTCGTCTTGAGGGTCCTTCTCTCACGGTATACTCTCACTGTCTTACTTCGGCTGGAAGACTCACCTCTATTTCCACCAGAAACTATTCTCTGATTCCCAGTGCTAGAAGCGGCCTCCCTCTTCTGCACGTCTCCAAAACGTTGTTCATCCTTCTCGGAGGACATTTTTCACAGTCTTTCTTGCGCTGTGGTTATTTTTATACTCTCCTCATCTTCCTGCTGTATTATAAACCGAGGGGCAGGATTTGAGCCGCATTCATCTTTAGACTTTATAATACTTTACACTCCAATGCAAAGTACAGTTAGCTAAAGCAAGTGCTCAACGAATGTTTGTTGAAGTGAATGCTAAAAAAGAGCAAGTCATGTTAAAGTGGATGCTTTGGAGTTTCTGTAAACCTGCCCAGACTGCTTCTTATGGATATATTAGTCTCTGCATCCTGGAACATAAGTGTTCTAAATACGTATATATTTCATCCATTCATCCATCCATTTACTCATCTACTCAATATAAACATACTGAGCACCTGCGAAATGTAAGGTGTATGCATGATAAGGGTAGCTCTGGGATTTATGCCCGGTCTGCATTCACTGATCAATATTTATCTCATTTTGTTTCCCTTCTTTTCAGACAAACGGGAGCAAAGAGGCACCTCACATCACCACTGCTGGCCAAGAGCAATGTGTCATAGGAATGACCTTCATTTACCTTGTGGCTTATGAAGTCTAAGAAGGTTCTTAAGCGGTGCAAACAGTGTGCGCTCAAGTCCTAACCTAAAGGTTGGCTGTTTGAACCCACTCAGCAGTGCTGCAGAAGAAAAGCCTGGTGATCTGCTTCTGTAAAGATTACTGCCAAGAACACCCTATGGAGCAGTTCTGCTCTGTAACACGTGGGGTCACCATGAGTTGGCATTGATGGCAACGGGTTTGGGTTTTTGTTTGTTTGCTTGTTTGCTTATTTAATGGGCTCTTGTAATGCACTGAGCTCTGTGATGCAATTTTAATACCTACAGGGAGTACTGGCTTTTTAGAGCTCCATCTTCAGGTTTGTGTGCTTGGAAATTTTATTTGAAGGAGACATCAGTTACATTTTCCCCTCTTTTCTCTCTTGTCTGCCAATTATTTTCCCGTCGTGTATTCAGTGAAGAGTTTCAGGTCCACTTGTTCAAGTTGAAGTGAACTTTCATGAAACCTGAAAATCAGTGCTTTCCTCCTAACGATGCCAACAAAAAAGAAAAAAGGCTTCAATTTGGTCATTATAATATATATGTGGGAAATAGCCACAGACAGTTTAAAAAGTAGATTGATTTTGTTTGTTTTAAAATAATCAGGCAGTACCTTTTTCTTTTTAAGGCTGCTGTATATAAAATACTCGTTTGTTTGTTTTTGTTTTGTTTTATGTTGTCAGGAAGTATGAGTGCATCGGTCTTAATGCCGAGCAGCTAAAGTGTCAGATGTCCGCCCTTCTCTTCTGCCAGCAGCCGTTACCCAAATACAGGGACTGGCCGACACAGAGGCCTGCCTCTTGCTGCCGAAGGACCCATTACCCACTTCTTACACATGTCTTTGGAGACCCTGTCTGTCTGTGGCTCCTTTGACCAGGGAAGGCCAGGAGCCTGCCGAATCCTTCCAGACTTCTTTGCAATCCTGCCTGATGCAGTGAATTCATTGCTTTCATAGACTGGGCGCTTGGCAGGCTCTGCTTCTCTTCGCCTCTGCCTTCCCCATCTCCCTCTCTTCTCTCCTACAGCCCGTCTGCCCCTCCTCTCCTCCATCCCTCTCTGCTCTCCGCTTCCCTTTATTTTCACTCCTACCCGTGTCTCCCTCCTCCCGCTCCCTCGGAGCTAGTCTGTATTTGCAGCTCCCGGAAGCAGCCGCCGACTCTCCCCTGGAGCAGCGTGACTGACACCGACTCCCGTTAAGGGGGAGGAGGCGGAGGGCCGGAGACGGGGGAGGGAAGGCGGGCGGAGGGTGCGAGTGGCCAAACGCGGATTTTCACCGCCGAGGACGAGCCCCCAGGTCACCGAAGCAGGTAATGCGGGGCGGTCAGTGCTCGGCCAGGGTGGAGATGCCGGGGGGTGCAGGTGCGGGGGGCATCTCGCGGCGGGCGCTGGGAAGTTGCACCGAATGGGTGTGGAGAGGAAGGGACCCCGGACGCGGCGGCGCGCGGGGCATAAAGGCGGCGCGGGGACTGGGGACGCGGCGCGGGGGCGCGAGCGCGCAGCGCGGTGGGCCGGGGATTCGCGGGGTACGCGGGC